TTTGAGACAGTCTCACTCCATCGCCAGGTGCCAGGCTGGAGTGCAGTGGTGCGACCTTGGCTTACTGCAACCTCTGCCTCCCAGGTTCAAGCAATTCTTCTGCCTCAGCCTCCTGAGTAGCTGGGACTACAGGTGTGCGCCACCATGCTCAGCTAATTTTTTTGTATTTTTAGTAGAGACAGGGTTTCACCATGTTGGCCAGGATGGTCTCGATCTCTTGACCTCGTGATCTGCCCGCCTAGGCCTCCCAAAGTGCTGGGATTACAGGTGTGAGCCACCGCGCCCGGCCTTGCCACCTTCTTTAAAGTCAATCCTAGCACCTAATATAGAGAGATGTTAGTATTTACCTAAGATTGATTTAAGGAAAATTATTCCCCTATTACCCTCTGTAAAATTTGCAGTCATCATCAATAAAGACAAGACCGGAGTTTGACTCTTAGCCCCAAACATAAAGGACTTCAAAATCTTATTTGGTGCACTATTTGTGTGTTTATGTAATTTAACTATAAATGACTTATATATATATTTTTTAATCACAGTTTTGATCTGTACCAGAAAGGAATTTGCAGCTGAAAATAATCTGGTCCTATCTAGGTAAATTTTGGAAAATATCTAAATGTTCTTAATGAGAAAACATCCGTGGTCTCAGATGTGGTTACGGGATAATGGTCTCCCAATGACTCATAAAATACTTCTCCTGGGGAGAAAAATACCTCTAGCATTACAAATAGGGTTGCAAATCTAAAAAGACTAATTTTGTCAAGGCAGGAGGTTTTTCTGGGCATGCTATGTAATTCCTGTTGTGGTGGTCTGGTGGGAAGGTTGGCGGAAAAGTGGGGGCTGGAGGGAAGGGGATGGACTGCAGAGACACTTCAAGAGAGACTCCTCAAACCAGTATTTCTTGTTGGTATATCTAAGAAGTTTAGGAAATATATCTTAAGATGAGAAGGAATTGTACTAATAATGTAGCCATCCAGATTCTAAAGACTGTGTGAGGACAAAAAAATCCAGGGAAAATATATTTTAAAGACATGGTCATAAAAGCATGGCATTAATGGATCATTGTGGGCACCCTTCAAGACTGTGTATTCAGAGGCAGAAGAGAGGGTGGAGGCGCCAGGAAGTGACTGGTGTGGTTGGTGCTCATGGGCTTATTGTTGTCTACAGGTTCTGAATCCTACCCTAGAAACACTGACCATTCTTCACGGATAGCTGAGGCAAGAACACCCAGTGCCTGTGGTAGGCAGCTGAGAGCTACTTGGTAAAATGATTTGCTCTTTAGAAGAGTATGGATGTGCAGCCGGGCGCGGTGGCTCACGTCTGTAATCCCAGCACTTTGGGAGGCCAAGGCAGGTGGATCTCTTAGGTCAGGAGTTCAAGACTAGCCTGGCCAACACGGCAAAACCACATCTCTACTAAAAATACAAAAATTAGCCAGGCATGGTGGCACATGCCTGTGATTCCAGCTACTCGGGAGGCTGAGGCAGGAGAATTGCTTGAACTCAGGAGGAAGAGGTTGCAGTGAGCCGAAATTGTGCCACTGCACTTCAGCCTGAACCACACAGCAAGACTCCATCTCAAAAAAAAGAAAAAAGTGTATGGATATACAACCAGCAACTAGGAAACTGAGGCAGAGTCTAGCCAAGGACCAAATAGGGGAGGTGCTGGTGCACAGAAGGATGGGGAATGGCTTTTGTAGGACCCTGAACTAGGGACAATAGCCAGGTCATCTGGACTCCAGGCTGAAGTCAAGGGCTGAGCAAAGCTGGGCCCGGGAACAAATGAAGGTGTGATAGGCAAAATTCTAAGATGACTCCTGTGTTAGTCTGCTTTGTGTTGCTATAAAGGAATACCTGAGGCTGGGTAATTTACAAAGAAAAGAGATTTATTTTGGCTCACGGTTCCGCAGGCTGTACAACAAGAAGCATGGTGCCAGCATCTGCATCTGGTGAGGCCTCAGGAAGCTTCTGCCCATGGCAGAAGGTGAAGAGGGAGCAGGTGTATCATAAGGCAAGAGAGAGAACAAGAGAAAGGGGAGGAGGTGCCAGACCTCTAAACAACCAGCTTTCATGTGAACTCATCGTGAGAACTCACTCATTACTATGGGGAGGGCATCAAGCCATTCATGAGGGAATCCTGTCCCCATGACCCAAACACCCCCCACTAGGCCCCATCTCCTACACTGGGGAGTAACATTTTTTTTTTTTTTTTTTTTTT